AGTGTTTATTAATCCAGGAATCATATAATTGTTAAGACAGTTCCTTGGCTTGCTTTTTATATTGCTACTGAAATCATCTAAACTAGCTCTAGAAAGTGAGTTTTCCTTCGGTTCACTCCACTCTGCCATACTCCACCATACCATCTTGCCACCCAAAATGGCTGTGAAATTAAATATGGGTGTGTCGTAAAATATGAATATGATTAAAAGGCGTTAGTGAAAAAGGACTACCGTAGGGCGCCTTTTTTCGAGGGCTATAAATTTTGCGGATTTTGCAATTTTTAAAAAATTCATGAAAATTACTTCCGCAAAAATTAAATTAATATAGTACAAGATGGCAAACGGCATAAATTCGCGAAAATTAAATCCACAAAATAAAAATCCATGAAATTTACAGCCCTCGAAAAAAAGGTGCCCTATGGTATATAGGGGCATGGCCAAGCAACAAGTATTGTGTGTTCAGACAAAGTAGAATGTCCCTTGGTCTCTGGGCATGACTAGGAGGCAGAGCCCTTAATGTCTTACATTCTTGATTCTTCTAGTATACCGTATGGAAGGAAATTTTGGAGGTAGTTAAATTTGGTGAATTTGGCGTTTTGATAGCCATTCGCCAAAATAAAAATTCGCCATTTTGAGCCATTATGCGCATGCTCAATAGCACATAGCCACAAATTCGCCAAATTAAAATTCGCCAATCAGCAAAATTTAGCAATTCGCCAAAATTTAGTCCCTCCAAAATTTCCTTCTGTACGGTATTCATACAAACTAGTCTTGCGCAACCAGGCCCAACCCACTACATGATACACACACACATTTTAGTATATATAGATCTATGTTCAGACTTACATTAGTATCTCTACACCAGTCACAATTTCAGATCATCAGATTTGAACAAGAGTACGTTGACTACGTTCATCTGAAATCTTAACAAGGCTTTTCCGAGGTATTTTCCCTTATGCAATGCTGGGCAAAAGTTAATGGACCTTTTGCACTTAAGCGATTCTAATTAACGCGCACCCAAAGTGGTGGTAAAATGGCGGATTTTTGGAGGAAAGACAGGCTGAACAATCTTCTCTTTTATCCATCCATTCTAGCTGTAGGAGCCACTTTGAGCTGTCCTTTTGTTTCAGTATACTCTATTTATCTCTTCTGTAAGCTCTTTGGTTGCTGTTTTGGCTTTTATAGCATTTTATCATAGGAATATTTTTACCCATTAGCAATTCCCGTTTTTCTAAAATTTGCTTTCAGGAGCCAAGGCGCTTGCCCCTCCATTGCCATGAAGACAGAAGTGTATTCAGCTGAGTCCTATGACTAGTGTCTATCATCAGACTTAGTCTCAGTCCATCAGAACCAGGTACGGTGGAATAACTCACTCAGTTGTCATGTTGCAGCTGGAGTGTGGATGATTATGACCATCTTTTCACTTCTTAAAACTATAGGTTGGCTCTTTTATAGATAGTTGAGGCATGCAAGAGCTCATTCTTTATCTGTACATTCACTGGTTGTATTGTATGAGCACCTCACGTCGTATTAATACCCCATGTCGCTATCCAATACTTGCAGAGAGGAATCATCACATTCAGGACTCGTTCATGGCTCTACA